ATCCTCGATAGTGCGATGGATGTAGTCCTTATAACGCTGTGCGGTGGCAGACTCAAGACGCTGGCCAAGATCAAAGACCGACCCCAATGAAGCGAAATCAACATCCTCGCCGAGTTCTGCCTGCAGTTCACTGGGGATCTCAACTTTCCAAGATCCGCCAACCATCTTGACAAGAGGGAAATCAAACCAGTGTCCACGACCACGATACCACTCCACCTTCTTATTGAATGTTGAAGGCTCCGAACAATCCATCACACCGATAGTGTCACCGTGGTAGCTACCCTTGAGTCCAAGAATCCCAATCTGCTCCTGGCTCGCATTCCAGCCGTACCGGTCGCAAGAAGCGCGTAGACCCATCTTCACAGCAACTTCCATCCCCGTGCTTCCATTGTCTGTGTAGAAGACCTTAGTGAGCCTTGGGTTGTCGATGGTTTTCAGTAAATTGTCCGCAAGCGACAGTGCTGGCTCATGGACTGCTCCTGCGAACATGACGTGTCCGTACCGACCGGCAGCATAGGAAGCAGATAGTGATAGCTCGGGGTTACCGTGGCCCAAGCCTTGCGTCCACCAAGATGCAGATCCGTCGAATGTCGGGCGCAGTTCGCCTTGGGTGTCTTTCGATGTACTGGGGTCGAATGTTTGGAAGTAATCATCATGCGCTGAGTCGATGACGGTAATGTCCTTAGCCTTCATACCTTGGTGTTGGGTGAAGGGGTACCATATCATCTCTTGCGCACGGTCGGCCATCTCTTCCAAGCGCTGAACACGCTCGGTATTGTTGACGGACATCTCTTCAAGCAGCCGGAGGACCTCCGACTCCTTTGCGGAGTTTTGGTAATAGCTCCGCATGGCCTCCTCGTCCCTTAACTGGGAGTCGACATCTAGCTGCGATGGTCGGGCTGGAGGTGCGGGTAGGGACACCAATGGAATGCTTTTTTTCTGGAAATAATCACGCAGGTATTCGTGATTTTGGTAGTACTCATCTCGGAACAAAAGAACCGACGAGATGTCATAGCCACGGAGGAGTAACGACTCGTAGGCAGAGATCGACGAAGATATTCCCCCTAGACGAGAGTCTGCCACCAACACAATTGGCAGCCGAAGTGGTCGATATAAGTCTGCTTGCGAATTGCCATTGGGGCCCGGGGAGTGTACGCCCCCGGCAGTCTCAACAAGGGCGAAGTCAATGTCCGACTGTGCCCAGCCGGACAAGGTGTTATGTATGGATGCGAGGAGATCATCATCTCGCGGAACCTACGCGATGAGCTTCGTGTGTTCTAATTAAGCCCGGGGACAATGGGCACTTACAAATTTATCTTTGGCTGCCAAATGCGGGCTCACTGGGTCATCGAATTGATAGAGGCATTTGGTGTGGGTTCCGGCGCCGTAACGTTGCAAGTGCCTAGGGTTGTGAGCGGTTGAACGGAATTCAATTTAGTTCAATTGAATTGAATTGAATTGAATTGAATGAAGTTCACCTACCGATCGTCGGCATCATCCAATGCGCCTGTTGACACGGGCTTGAGGAATGCGGCCCGCTGTTTCTGACGTTGAATGGAATTACACAACACCGTGGAGATAATTGTCTTCCCCACGTCTGTGTTAGCCCCGTAGACTTGGTGGGCTCTTAAATTGCGCCAGAGTGCTGCACCGACAGGAGGCATGATATATATTGTATACAATATACAATATCAATATACAATATAAGATGAAGTGAAGTGAGTCCAAAAACAGGGACCTCGGTAGGAATTAAGTGAGTTTCCGACTCCACAGCCAAAATTCCCCCCACATTTTTCTGCATTTCACCGGACTCTCTTGTTGGGTTATCTTGACTTCGAGGAGAAATAAGATCTGTCCTGTTATCAATCTCAACAGTCAACAGTCAACAGTCAACAATCAACAATCAACAATCAACAAAATACAGATAATCCGTACATAACCCCGTCAGGAACACAATCAAGATCATCAGGGGAATTGACGTCAGTCATCGTCCAAATCAATATGGCTGCATCTCAACCTGGGACATCGAGTATATCCAGTACATCCAATACATCGAGCTCAGCGCCAAAAACCCTCATTGACTCACTCTCTGCCGCATTGTTGCGCCGGGAAGCCAAATCTGCCCGTCGGAGGCTCACCGTTTTACCCCGGACAGCTGTAGATTTCTCCTCCAATGACTTCCTGTCACTGTCAACGTCTTCTGCATACCGGGAACGATTTTTAGCCCTTTTGAACAATACACCGCCATCATTTCCCCTGGCCAGCGGCGGTTCTCGGCTATTAGACGGGAATTCGGCTTACGCGGAAGAACTCGAAAACTTTGTCGCAGAATTCCACCAAGCCCCGACAGCACTTCTATTCAACTCCGGATATGATGCCAATGTTGGCGTACTATCCAGTATTCCCCAGCCAGGCGATGTGATTTTGTACGATGAGCTCATCCACGCAAGTGCCCATGAGGGCATGCGGTTGTCGCGAGCTGGTCCTCGGAAGATGTTTGCCCACAGTTCGCCCATTGGCTTGAGAGAGGTTCTGCAATCGCAAATAGCTGAAGACCCAGCAATTGTGGAAGGTACGCGCAATGTTTTCGTGCTCATTGAGTCCATCTATAGCATGGACGGCGATGTTGCTCCCATCAAGGAGTTTATCGCTGTTGTTGACGAACTGCTACCTCACGGCAATGGATATTTCTATGTTGATGAAGCGCATGCGACTGGTGTGTTTGGACCGCGGGGTGCTGGGGTGGTTCAGGAACTCGGCGTTCAGGATCGCATGTTCATTCGAGTGCACACCTTCGGCAAGGCACTAGCGAGTCACGGAGGTATGTTGTCTTGTGTAGTTTGATCGGCCCTTAAAATAAATACCCGACTAACATTTATCCAGCCATGGTTCTCTGCGGGCCAGAGACAAGGGATTACCTGATCAACTATGCCAGGAGTTTGATCTATACTACCGCTCTAGGATTTCCCTTCCTGGCATCGATTCGCGCAGCTTATGAGCTCCTGTCATCCGGTGAAACCGAATCAGTGAGTCGATCCCCTATCCATGTCCTTGATATACCAATAGCTAACTGGGTCACAGTTACAACGCCGACTTCAGGAGTTGATCCGCCATCTCCGACAACAGCTTGATGGCCTCCATACATATCAATCAGTCATGTTCGAAGTAGACCACTTCCCCACATCTCCCATTATCTCCCTTCGCACATCGCAGCCACGGCAGCTGGCGAGTCTCTGTCAGGAAAATGGATTCATTGTTCGAGCGATTATGCCACCGACGATTCCCGAGGGAAAGGAACGGGTGCGAGTGTGTTTGCATGCGGGAAACACCGAGGGAGAGATCGATGGTTTGACGCGAATGATCCAGTCGTGGCTCGATCAAAGTCATAGAAATGAGTCAAAATTATGAAAGTTTGTTGTTCTTTTGGCTTTGCATTTCCATGGACATTGTCTCCTAGCAAGGTTTAGTCTGAAGTACTTGAACCCATTATATTTTGATTCCCATACATATTATTATCTGAGTCCTCAACCCGGTCTAGTTATAATGTCAGACCTACATCCATAGTTGCCCGGTTGGTTGAACACATCTATAGTTCCGGTTGCTATGGCCGGCATTATCGGGATCTATGTCTTAGTTGTTTCCGTTCTTATCGCAAACAATCTAAAACAGAATCTCACAATGTATACAGACTTGGCTTCGCACTTGGTCCAGTTCTTTACGGGTCATTTTATAAAAGCTAATTCCATCTATCTACGACTAAAAAGTATGACCAAACTGAAATTATCCTAAGCAAAATACGACATTGGAAGTATATATTCCCACTAGCTAGCTGCTGGCTGTATATAAGTAAAGCTGTTGACAGAATGTTATGCATTGGTCACAAGACTACATCTCAGATGGAATAAAACCAGCACTGTAACCTCCATCCCTCAGGTTATACGATCGAAGGCAATTCTGGTGTGGTATTAATTGCCTGAATAGAAAGGATAGCAGATCGTCACAGTCGTAATTTGCCTTTGTTGGTAATGCTGTTATATGTTCACAGAACTGGCTAGGGGATTGTAGTAAACTGTAATGTAGGGACCAGATCTGCTGGAGTAGGCGATTGAGATCCACACATAGATATCTGCCCTCTGATTGAGGTCAGGGGTAGAGCTATGACATGTTAATTTTCTACTGTTCTAAAGTCAGGCATTCATCAAATCATCTATAAAGGGGGTTTTGAACCCTGGCCACTATAAGTCTTGGTACTCTTAGGCATCTCCTAGTTCTAAAGGTATTGTAAAAGCGTAAGACATATATATTGATAAATAGTATCGTCAGTAAATGATTATCGATACAGTCTAGGCCATGTTCGTATAAGAAAGAAACCATGTAGTATCGCTATAATAAGCACCTGGTTGTGAGTCTTCCATTTTCACTTGGCAAGAAGCCTTGGCATGTGAATATAATCTTTCCAACCATCGATCATCCTTGTACACGAGCCAATAGAGATTGAGGATCGGCTAACCGATTTATTCAACCACATCTGCTAAAACGCTATCGGGATGTTGATAATCATCACCACTAGGTGATGCCATAATGTGATACCGACTTTCTGTTGATCACGGGTGGTATAACCACGCGATCTAGTACTACAATTGTAGGTTTTGCGAGCACTACTGACGTATATGTCTCTCTTCCACCGGTTCGCGGATTTTCACAGGAGATCCTTGACTTGATAGAATGACGGCTTGAGTCGGTCTAGATCACTGAAAATAGAAACAGTCAGAGCCATCTGCTCTCGTATTTCTTCAAACCCACTAATACCTACCTCATGATCACTAGTTAAGGTATCTGTGAGCCCATAAGACTTGCCACTGGATCTCATATAAAGTGAGTGAAGATTCACTTAAATTCCGTGAGAGACAATAGTATTTCACCACTGTTCTTTCCTACAACCCAAACAACCGTACCAGTTATCTACTTTCAATCCTCCACGTTTCATCCTTTTCTCTAATATGAAGTGGTCATCTTACACACTTGTTGCGCTTCTTCCCCTTGCTACCCAGCTCGCTATAGCAACCCCAGTTGCGGATCCGTATCCCGATGCCATTGAGGAGCGGGGTGGAGGCAAGCACAAAGGCTACGAAAAAGACCATGGATACGACAATAAGAACGTTTGTGAGGTCAAGCAAACCTATCCATACTACAAGTACCCTTGCGACTCAAGCCCCTCCAACGGAACATCGCTCCTAGGAGCCACTTTTACCTCTTTTTGCAGGTACCAGTGAGTGTTTCGAACCACAGTCAACCTAAACTGGCTTGCTAAGAAAGATTATAGAAACGCGGATTCTGGAGTTTGGTATAGCGCCCCAAGGGGATGGGTCAAAGAAGAAGATAAGCCTCGGAGATGTCGTGAGTAGCCCCATCTTCCTGGCTTGCTTATAACTAGACTAATCGATCTTCTAGCTGGAGCTCCAAACCCATGCCCGGTTTGAAATTACACGAGTTGGCTTCTTTGTGTTATACGGAGGGGGAAAATCTGAAATGAAAAGGGAAAAGGCTAAAAAAACATATGAATTAGCTGGTAATTATGTTCGGAATTGGCTTACTCGTTGACTTCAAACTGCAAACCAAAAAATATCAGAAAATAAATCCTTGGTCCGCTCGGGATATAAAAGTTTCAACTTCTATCTCCTTTAGCACTATATTCGGTTTAGTAGATAAATACATGTATCTCGACTTATGTGACTTTATTCAACAATATATCATGGAACATTATCTGAGATTGGGCAACCACGTTGAGTACATTGTTGCTACAGGCTACATCCTTATTTGCGGTAGCATAGTCTCTTTCTAGAGCCGGATATTTGACGGTTGCCAAGCTGGGATCTAGCGGGACTCTTCGCATTACCACAAGTTGATGCAAACCTGATTGTTAACTCGCCAAGAGCCAGGTGGTAATGGCCGTTTGCTTTAGTAGTTCGATTGAACTTTTGCTTTCTGTGGCCCATGAGAGGTGGAGGGCAAAATTTGGGTCATCAATGCTTTAAGAGATCGGTGGCTTTCGGTTCAGCCCTCACCATCTGGGTTTTTTTTTAAGGTGCCATGTCATTCCAAGGTTACCCGTGGTTCTCCTGGCTCAATAATATAATTGAGGTCAATTCAAAAACCGAACAAAGTTTGGGCCGTATATAGGAAGTCAAAATGGAACAGAGACCGAGACCGAGACCGAGACCGAAAATGAACAAAAATATCCCGAAAATTACAAAACTTCTGCCAAAATTTAATAGTGCCTCGGGGGCATAATCGTAGGCATAGGTCAAACCCCCCTCATCTTCATCGCCGCCTTAAAGCTCTTCACAAACTCCAGAATATGGTCTGGATTTAGCATACGCGCATGAATCCCCGGACACTCATGGAACTCAACATCAGTCCTGGCAAAATCCCTCCAGCCACCCAACTTATTCTCCACCCAGTCGCGGCGATCCAGCGCCGCATACCCGGGCGGATCCGCAATAAACACATCGAGATGGTCCACGCTCCCCACTGGCTCATAGCTCTCGCCATGCACTCGGAAGTTCTCACCAATATCACTGATCTGGGCTAGGATCTCGACCGAGAGCGCCAGTGCACGCGCACGTTCCGGGTCCCCGATAGCCAGGACATAGCTGAGCGTTTCATTGCGGGACAGAGGCTTCCCCCTCTCTCTCACGGGAAAGGAAATAAGCTTTCGCAGAGTTCATGAGCTCGTCGCCGATGAGTTCTAGGAAGAATGAGATGTGCAGAACGACGTCCTGCCAGTTCTGGCCGGACACGTATTGCCGGATATGTGGTGGGTAGTCGATAGATGCGAGGAAGCGCACCTCCTGTCCCTGGGACTCGAGCAGCTTGCCGACTTCGAAGGCGAGTGTTGAGCCGAGCGAGTACCCTGCTATGGCGTAGGGCCCGTGAGGCTGGACCTTACGGATGTGCGAGGTGTATGTTTCGACTGTGGATTGCATGGTGGGGAAGAGCGGCTCGTTGGCGTTGTATCCGCGGGTGCGGATGGCGTACACTGGGCGGTTGGGGAATTGGGCGGCTAGAGCGATAAAGACAAGAATGTCGCCACTGCCGGGGTGGATGAGGAAAAGGGGGATTTGCGTGCCGTGGACTTGGAGGGGGACGATGGGGTTGTAGGCCGGGGGGTGAAGCGCGGGTGGTGTCGACTGCGGAGGCGATTTCACTGACGGTTGGTCTGGTGGGTGGTTAGTATACACAAACTCACAGTAATGTGGACAGGGTAGGGAAGGTTACCGTGTCATGAGGACAGACATGGGTATGTCCATGGCAACCTTGGTCTTGAGTGATATCAGGTCAAATGAGGAGATGCCCAGCTCGAAGACGGACGAGTCGGCACTAATCTTCTCCACAGGGATCTGTAGTATCTCGCTCAAGACTACTTGGATCTTTCGCTCTGTCTCTGTGGCGCACTGCTTCCAGGTTGACTGCCGATACGCGTTGACCGCAGCCAAATGGCGCTCTTCGATGGAGGCGTAGACACCACTCACAAAGGCCTTGCGGACTTTCGTGCGCGAGACCTTGCCCAGTAACGACTTCTCCAGCATCTCCGCCGGCAGCGGGATAATATGACCTGGCTTTTGCGCCGTGAGAAGCGCAACGATCTTCGTGATTGCGGCGTCGGTCTCGAAACGCACGGCGGCCTCGTCCTCGCCGAACGCGGGGACATATACCACAGCTACACCCTCTGTCGGGGAACCAGGGTCGCGATACGGAAAGACGACAGTCCACGAGGGCGTCACGCCGGGAATTCCCTCCTCTTCAATGGCCGTCTCGATCTCGGTCGCGCTCCAGTTAACACCGTTGATAATGATGATGTCCTTGATCCGGCCGGCGAGGTTGAGGCTGCCCGAATCGTCTATCCAGGCCAGATCCCCTGTAATGAACCATCCATCCTCTGTGAAGGCCTGTGCAGTCGCGACCGGGTCATTGTAGTATCCGGTGAAGATGACGGGGCCCTTGAGCTGTAGCTCGCCGGTCTCTCCGCACACCGCATGTTGGTTGTTCTTGCCTACCACCCGCATCTGCACCCCGGGGATGCAAGTCCCCAGCCTCGCGAACTCCAAGCCCCGCTTGGCGTCTACAGATGGGAATCCGCCAGTGCAGTGAATCGCCCCTGCACATGTCTCCGTCATGCCGAATCCAGGACTGATGACTTCCAGGTCGCTGGGGGTACGGCACCGCTGCTGGAGCTGGCGAGTAAGGGCTGCGCACGTCGCGACGACGTTGGCTTCCCCGCCAGAGTTGATTCTTCTCAGCGCAGACAAATCCGCCGTTACCTTGGGGTTTGCTGCAAGAGCATCGCGTAACTTGGTGAGGAAGAAGTTAGGCGCGAATGTCGATGTGACGCGGTGCGTCTCGAGCAGCTCAATGAACCGGAGGGGATTCTGTGATAGTTTGCCTGCAGGGATATGCACCTGCTCGCTGCCCAGGCTGACCGCAAGCAAGTGCACCTCCGTCATACTCGCGACATGGTCCAAACCAACCCAATTCAGAAACACATCGTCCGGCCGACTCCCATAATGAGACGCCTTCCCCCGCAGCGCGGCCAGGATCTGCCCATGGCGGAGCGGGACTGCCTTTGCATTCCCCGTACTACCGGACGTCAACATCAACAAGGCCGTCTGCTCGGGGTCCTTGAGCGGGCCGGGCAAGTTCATAGCAGGGTTTGTTGGTCTCTTATCGCCCAGGGACTCAACAGAGTGCAGAGCAAGGCCTTCGACACCGCGAAACTCCGGCAGCAGTCGCTCGCTGGTTAGAATCAGGGGTTTGTCCAGCAGAGCCTGGAGATGCAGGATGTGTTTCTTGCGCTTGCCTTCGTCTACGACGAAGGGGGTGGACATGCACGGGATGAGCCCGGCCAGAGTCACAGCCCAGAACCATAACACCGCTTCACTCTGGGTGTCAAAGTGCAGGAGCACAATGGACGAACCCGAGGCTGACGCTGAAGCTGAGGTCCAGAAATCACGGAGGAGGTGAGCTTTCTCCGTCGCGTCTTGCTGGAAATCAGCGTACAAGGCGTGGATGGGTTCCGAAGAAGACTTTCCGTAAAATGTCAGGCCACTTTGGCAGCGGGATGCATTCTCAAGAAGCTGGCTGATATTCTTGACGACAAGGGCTGTGTTATTTTCACCAGTGCGTGTCATGGCTGAGCTGGTATAACCAACGGAACGAATATTGCATGGGCTGAGTTAGAAAATTCAACAGGATGGATCGATAGGTCTAATTTATGGCCACAGAGGTTGGGACTCACCGACTTTATTTATTGGGTTGGTCATATCGCATTCTTCACCAGCTGCAGCTGCCCCGTGTAACCCAACCTCAAGTTAACGATCTTTCGGCGTGTTTTTATCTACCTAAGTACCCTCCTTCATCTGAAGACTTCCAACTTGAGTAGGCTCTATCCATACTACTCTCTCCACTAGCTGAGGTGAAGCATACCCGATTACCTGTATTCCCTGCCACCCAACTCAATGCCCGTGGACAAAGAACATATACTGGTATCATCAGTGCCACAAGATGCCCGCTCACGCCTACCCCCATTACCCCGCTACACGCCGGACTTGATCACTTCAACACGAGAAGAAAAGGATCTGCAAGAGAAATACGAGGTAGTCGTCGTTGGAGTACGCACACCCCTGCAACTGGCGTAACTAGCTGACTGACCGATTCTATTTTAATCCAGGCTGGCCCTGCAGGCATCCTACTCACCTCCCTCCTAGCCCGGTATGGGCTTAGGGACGAGCATTCATTGCTATGCATCGACCTGAAGGGCGGGACTCTTGGGTCGGGACACGCGGATGCGCTGCAGCCGCGGACACTGGAGGTATTGAAGTCGATGGGTCTGGCCGATGAGATCATTAATGAGGTGCGTTGTTTCACAACTTTAAGCCACCCATGAAGTATGGTATGGTGTGGTATTGTATGGTCAACCTAACAAGAAAATAGGGGTTCCAGTGCTGGGAACGCAGTGCGTGGGATCCCTCGCCCGGGGACGAGGAAAAGATCGAACAGGACTATGTTAAACCGGTATTGGATTCCACTGCTGGGTACCGGTACCCGTTTGTGTTGTTGATGCGCCAAGGAAGGACGGAGCAGATGCTTGAGGCGGACTTGCTGCGATATTCGGAACGCGGGGCTCAGAGGGAGACAAAGTTGATTGATGTGTGCATTGACGAGCACGGCGATAAGGAATTCCCGGTTAGATGCGTGATTGAGACGGCAGACGATGGGCAGCGCGGAACTAAGACTAGGACTGTGCGGTGCAAGCACGTCGTCGGCGCGGACGGGGCCCACTCCACCGTGCGGCGATGTATGCAGCTCGATCTGGTCGGGGACTCGCTGGGGTACATGTGGGGTGTGGTCGACCTTGTCCTAGACACTAACTTTCCTGATATTCGGAGATTTTCTTCAGTGCGCTCGGCGGGGGGCTCGGTTCTTGTCATACCGCGGGAGCAGATACCTGCAACCGGGGAGTATCTGAGCCGACTTTACATCCAAATCCCTGGGGAGGTGGCTTTGGACATTACCGCGGAGGAAGCTAGGGAGAAGCGCAGTGACATCACGTTGGAAAGCTTGCTTGAGACTGCTAGCCGGGTGTTTAGGCCGTTTCGTATAAAGCAGAAACAGGGCACCGCGGTAGAGTGGTGGGCTATCTATCACATCGGGCAGAGGATGACCGAGGACTTCATCGTTAGGGATTCTACTGGTCTCCCTCGCGTGTTTCTGGTAGGAGATGGTAGGCATCCCTCGTGCCCTTTTTCTACAAATAAATAGAAAAGAGGGGAAAGGCTGACAGGATACATAGCTTGTCATACGCACAGCCCCAAGGCTGGACAGGGCATGAACGTCTCCATGATGGACTCGTACAACCTGGCCTGGAAGCTCGCATACTGCATCCACGGTGTAACACCGACGCCTCTTCTAGAGACATACGAAACGGAGCGGCGGGCAGTTGCACGGCAGCTTCTAGAGGCTGATAAGATTTTCAGCACGGCGATGTCGCAGCCAATTGCAAACACGCCGGAATCCGGCGATGCTCAGGGGCCGGTCTCCAAGCAACTGGATGGAATTCTCAGCGCTCTAGAGGGATTTATCAGCGGATGTGGCATTCAGTACCCAGGAAATATGCTCGTCGAGCTCCCTGCTATTTCTGGCACCGACACTGATCATCTGTGCGGCATTCTCCACCCAGGAACCAGAGTTGCAAACGTGAAGCTGAAGAGATACGCCGATGGGGCACCGCGGGATCTACAAGATAGTCGGTCATGCCCATTCCCCTACCCACACCTTCATCCATATAAACTTAAAGACACCTTGAAGTTAACACTTCTAGCGCAGGCTTCCCCAGCACCGGTCGCTTCCGCATCTTAGTCCTAACCTCGAACGACTTCCTGGTCCCCCTGGGCGTTTCATCCAGCACCCTAAATACAATCGGAGAGACACTGCTTCCCACTTTTCCGCCTTCACTTATAGAACAGGTCATCCTCTATCCCGGCCTCCGCGTCCGCCGACATTTCTGCTGGGAAGATCTCCCGAGAACTGTGAAGGTGTACTCAGAGATGCGATTGTTCGACGGCTCAGGCTCAGGTCTGGCAGAGGGTGAAGATGCGTACACTCTCTTCGGTGTCGCCCCGGACAGGGGGCTATGGCGGTGGTGCGGCCTGATGGGTATGTTGGGTTGATGGCAGAATTGGGGGACGTGGCGAGAGTAGAGTGCTACCTGGCACGGTTTGTGAAGAGGTAGGCGTGGGTAGAGACAGAAAGATTACAGAGCAATGTAGAGACTCCGACTAGTAATGAACTAGGCTAGCATTGCTCCCCAGGATATCTTCATCCCTGTCAAAGTTAAATAATCGTCCTCAGGCTCCTCCTCTTCACAATCAAAGAGTGTACAGGCGAATATGAATAACAGGCATATTCGTATTCCTTTATTCCTTTCGGAACTCGGATTTGCACCCATTTCGGTCCAGCTGGTGGATGTTTGATATGAATGACAAAAACGCTGGGTTTACGGTTTAATAATCATTAAGTTGTAACGTGTATCTATTTGTATTTGATTTGAAATCCTCTACTACTTGAGGGCTATCTGGTTATTCGGCATCTAGACCATAGATTGCTCCACCTTCATTTCACTAGCCTGAGTATCCGAACGGTCCATAGTAGTGTAGCGACTGAAATCTCTCAGATCCCGACGGTCACCACCAGGCTGATCACCGCGAGCCACAGCCTTTCGGTCCTGGCGACGGAAGTAAAGACGCTTGCACCATTTCCAGGTTTCAATGCCAAGGAAGAAAAGCACTGTCTCAACAAAGACAATAGCCCACTCCCAGGAGATACTGCTGTGCTTGAACACCTTGTGGTTGATAACAGGGATGTAGATAATAGGGAAGGCAAGAACGAAACCAGTCATGATACCAAAGAAGAGGAACTTGTTGCGCCAGATATCATGCATCCACTGGGTAAAGACTTTCTTCGAGTTGGGCTGCATCTGGAAGAAGCTGCGGCGCAGGTGCATCATCTCCCAGGCGAGGAAGAGGGCAAACCAGGTCATGCATGTAAAGGTAGTGGCGCGAGCGCGGAAAACTGTGTCACAGTTATAGGGTGTGGTAGGGTCGTTGTAATGCGTGTTACATCCCCGGGCGAGATCGCCGTTGCCCCATCGGAACATGACGAGAGAGAATGCCGACAGACAGAGGGCGGCCATCCAGACTCCGTAGACGAGGGTGTCGATGATGATTTCCCAGGTGAAGATACCTTGTTTCTGTGGATTGTTAGTAATTTGAACTGCAAGGGAGGAGGTTTAGGGGGGCTTACGCTTTGCGGTGGGCGGTCCATCACTTCTGGAGCGGCGATCTCCATTCCCAAGCCCATATCAGGGAGACCAGAGGTAATCATGATAATCCAGATGATCTCGACGGGGGAAATTGGGAAGACAGACTGGTTGCTGCCATCCTTGAAGACCAATCCAATAAGTAGGGTCAAAGCCAAAGCGACATTTTCCGCAAGAAGATGCAGAACGAATTTCTGGATGTTATCGAAAATGCGACGACCTTCCTCAATGCCGTTGATGATAGACGCAAAGTTATCATCAGACAGCACTAGTTCAGAAGCATCCTTGGCCACATCAGAGCCATTCTGACCCATAGCGATACCGACATCAGCCCGCTTAAGCGAGGGAGAGTCGTTAACTCCGTCACCAGTCATAGCCACGAACCGCCCACGACGGTGCAGCGCATCAATCATACGGACTTTCGTATTAGGCGCGCAGCGAGCAATAACCAACGGAAGGGTGGGAAGTTCATCAATCTCGTCTTCGGTCAATTTGTCAAACTGGGAAGCCGTCATAACCATGGCATCAGCAACGTCCTTGGCGATCGTATCCATATTCGCAGGAATGATTCCGACTTGAGCGGCGATCGCACGCGCAGTACCAGGGTGGTCACCGGTAACCATGTGCACGGAAATTCCAGCCTTGTAGCATAGGGTAATAGCTCCAGCCGTCTCCGGGCGAGGGGGGTCGTAGAGACCGATCAAACCGTAGAAAGACAAGTCCTTCTCAACCTCGTCACGGGGAAGAGGGTCGCCGCCTGCTTTTGCAGGAGAGGTGTTCTCACGACCGGCCATAGCGAGCACACGAAGACCCTCTTTAGCCAAAGCCTCCATGTTCTGCAAGATTTCCTCGCGCATTTCATCGGTGATAGGAACAGGTTCAGAATCGGGCTTCCATTTAATGGTAGTGCACTCCTCGAGAACACGTTCGACAGCGCCCTTAGTGAAGATCATCTCGCGAGTCTTCTCCGAGTTGTCGTCGCGCTTTGAGAATATAACAGACATTTTCTTCACACTTGAGTCGAATGGATACTCGGCCTGTTGTTGCCAGATCGGCTTGTCGCCCTTAGTCCAGTGATCCAGACCCCAGTTAAACCGAGAGGCGAAAACCTGAATGGCAATGTCGGTAGGTTCGCCACGAGCCTGCCATCCCTCAGTAGCAGTTTTGTGGAGATGGGCCAGGTTAGCCATGGCAGTAACGTTGAGGAAATCCTTAAGTGTATCATTGTCTTTTAACAAGTCATCTGGCGATGCTACATCACCTAGGTTGTCCGTACCCAGTTTGAGCGGGGGCTCAGCCACCAAGCTCAGATCACCGTCTTGGGGGTTGAGAGGTTCATTCGAAGCACCAACTGAGTAAGTTCCCAGGGATGGAAGCCAAGCCCTCTTGGCGACCATGCGGCCTTGGGTCAAAGTACCAGTCTTGTCTGAGCAGATATTGGTAACAGCACCGAGTGCCTCGAGGGAATCCAGCTTCCGGACAATGACATGCCGCTGGACCATCTGTTTCGTTCCGACAGCCATAGTGATTGTCAACACAACCACCAAACAGGCGGGAATCATGGCCAGACCAGTCGCGACCGCATAAATAATAACCTCGCTATCACCGCGCCAGTCGTTCGACGCAGCGACGACAATCGCAAAAACGACAGCAATGGCAAAGAGCAGAAGCGCCAGCTTAGACAGCTTCCGCTGCAAAGGTGTACCAACATTGGTACCCAAGAACCGGCCAATGGCATCGGTAGTGGTCAATGTCCAAGCTTGGATATACCATCTCTTCTTTGTTTGGCCTTCGGGTCCGCGCTTAACAGGTCGACGCCTCGAGTCGGTTCCACGGAGGGCTTGAGCGATAGCTCCAATCTCGGTCCTCATTCCGGTTCCCACGACGACACCGCGAGCACGTCCTCGGGTCACGGTTGACGAGCTGTAGGCGATGTTTAGTCTGTCGCCTGGGCCGGTGTCGATCTCGAATGTGGCCTCTGCGTCTTTCTGGACCGGGAGGGACTCGCCCGTTAGCAGCGCTTCGTCGGTTTCGAAGTTAAATGCTTCAACGAGTCTATGAAGGAGTTAGATGGATGGTAGTTCTGATGTATTCTGTGCGGAGTTGTGTTACATACCTGACATCAGCAGGAACTGTGTCTCCTACTTTCAATTCGACCATGTCACCAGGGACGATCTCATTTGCGGGGACGGTTTCTGTCTTGCCGTCGCGAGAGACTACACCAGTGGGAGAGCTAAGCGATCGCAGCGAGTCCATGGTCTTCTCTGCGGCATAATCCTGGTAGACACCAACAACGATGTTCAGAGTGATGACAGCGGCGATGAAACCTCCTTCGATCCAGGACTGAATACCGAAACTAACGGCCATGGCGATAATGAGGACCTACGAACTTTTAGCAATTAATCTTTGGCGGGTCTTTCCGGCTTCTAACTTACCAGCATCATAGCATTGGCAATTTGTCGAATGACAATCTTCGCCAAGGAGACGCCTTCACCTCCTTCAAGTATATTCTCGCCATATTTCTCCAGGCGCTGCTTGACCTCGGCGGTTGTTAAACCATCGTCAGAATTGGTCTGGAGTTCGCCGATGGCTTCGTCGAAGGTAAGACTATGGGCGGGCTGGGAGAGGGGTTGTTGTGTAATATCAGCAGGGCTGTCAGAGCCAGAGCCAGAGCCTTTTTGGGCTTCCTGCGACATTGCGCGATGTTCGCGAATGGTAAGAGTTCTTTCTCTAGTTGAGTGAGTTGTGCAAGTTGAGTGAATTGAGTGAATTGAGTGAAAAGATGTACTTCTATGAGGCTCTTAAGGGGGCAGCTTATAGAAGGTATCTGTAACAGAATGAGAGTCCATACACCGGAATTACTTTGAGTAAAAAGGCACAATTTTATGAAACAACCTTCTTTTTCTTTCCTTCCCGGGGGGATATCCAAAGTATAAATAAGATCCGATCAGAATGTCAGTTCGATGGCGATAGATAATCGGCTGTTAAGGCCGGAAAGAATTTCTTGGAAATCATGTCCGATATCTGGGGGAACCAGCATCATGATGTTCTGACAGCCAATTAGCTTCATCGATGAGATCTCGATATTAAGCGGACTCTTCTTGGCGCATCATAGTGACTTTCCCCATTCAGACGATGACGCAAACGACTCTGGGCACGTCTCGGCCGGCCCCCACGCCATAATCCTCTAATTATGATTGGTGCGGAGTGGTCTTGGCATTCCCTTGGCGGGACTGTTTGTCGCGTTCTGTTTCCCTGATTTATTTCCCACCTCTGGGCATCTTGGCACTTGGCGCTTGGAAACTTCTTGGCATTTCGGGGCTCGAGGGTTCCTCCGCCTCAAATCCTCCTACATCTCCGGGGGCATTTTTCTACTCTTATGTGGCAAAAAAATCCCAGATTGAACTTGTCTTAATGCCTTAAGTAATGGGCCATCAATTATTATTGGAGATACGGTGCCTGAATACATAATTGACCCGAGTGATCCGATCCAGGTTGCACTGTCTCACCTTGCACTCTTCCTCCATTTTTATTGGGTCTATCGGACGATACTCCAATTCTTTATTTTTATTTTCTTCTCGTATCTTCTTCGCTTGGACCCAAATTCCATATGACCCTCCACTCATGGCGGACAATTCCATGCCGCGAGAGGAGATAATCGGGGTTGTGATTGGGGCCGTTGCCCTGTTTTCCCTGATCAGCATGATTCCGGTGTAAGTACGGAGGCACGATAGTCTTGGCAACTCCCCTCCCCCGCGCTTCATGCATACGAATTGTTCTGGAACTTCTGACGTGCCGATCACTGATTTGTATGAATTTTCCATTCAGGATGATCATGTGGCATCACCGACGACGCACAGCCATGCGGGCAATGGCCGAAACCCGGGTTCTCCCACCGGTCTATCAGGTACAATTGCAGAACGTGTTGGGCCAACCTGTGTCCGTGGATCGATGGTTGGAGGAACAAAATGTTCCTGCCAATGCCCAGCAATACGGCCAAGATACTTGGTAAGTTGTGATTTATCAGCATTCCATGGGTCTCCAATTCCGGCCCCCTCCCATCAAAACCTCTTGGCCCTGCGGTTCGATGATGTGGTGCGGGGACACTAAGGCTGGGCTCTCGGTCCTTCCGCCCTATAGGGATCGGCGAGTCTTCGTTGATGCGGGTTCACGTTTCTGGGCAAGGCATTTTCGCCTGCAAATACGCCCCAATGCCAATTCCCCCTAGTTCCTGGGTGCACACACGTGGTCTTGGCTGGAGATAGCAGAGCACGCAAACCACCCTAGAAAAATCACCTGAATCTTCTAGAATCAAGCTAACTCGCCCAGCCCCATCTGTCTCTCGGCATTGTCGTCATCCCCATATCTGGCTTGTCCTGATCCAGCCATTTTGGCCCACGGCCAGCATAATTATAACCCGACGGCACGCCCAGACCCCCGCTGCAGCTGCGGGGCGCAACATTCCCCAGCCGATAGCGAGGTCCTCGTATTGAACCGCTGCAAGCATGCCTTCCATCTAGATTGTCTAAAATCTTGGTTTGAATATCGTCGGTACAAGTGCCCGATCTGCCAAGCTTCGTATTCGCCAGAGGCAGAGACACGAGGATAATTTCCGGAATGAATTCACTTGCTGCATGCATAATTCCGTGGGGGTGCGATTTGCTTTGCTATCTAATATCAGTGGCTATACCCTCCAAAGTTTGCCAAGTGGGATCAATATGGCTTTTTGCATCTTTTTTTTTCGCTGTTTTGCTTTGAGATATCCATCAACGTGACACGAAGCGTGCTCATTCAGTTTCTTTGATTCTCAATTATATACCTGTTGTCCATATGCCCAAATAGGCCTTAGGGGAAGACCTTGTTTTATATATCGATACACAAGCGTAATAAAAGGAATCATGGTCACTATAATCATGATTTATTTTTTTAAAAAAAAAAAAAAAAATTGAGAAGGGAGTCCATTCCGGCCGAATAAGCGCCTTCATGGTGTAGTTTGACCCCTTCAAAGGATAATCTACTCATAACTTTCCTCCTTGCCTTTTTTTTCTTTCATATTAGCTGCTCACATTGGGGATCTATACACTAAATTATTATGATTGTGTACTCTCATCTTCCGCAATAACCGACACTGGGAAATCGGGCACCCGAATAGGAAATTTCTCTCAGAACTCCCGCATTCCCCGGCTACGCGAACAACTTTTAAGCTGCTCGTTGATTTTAATTCAATGTTTCCCCAAAAATATATACACATTCCATGGATGCTATTATCGAGACTCTCCTGATTCAGAATATCTCAACACATTACACATACCTCTTTTCAAAAATCACGAATCCCTTCATTCGTCACCATGGACTTGACTCCTGAAGAAACCAACCTCGTCGAAATCGCAAGAACAATAATCAATGCCATCCCCAAATCAGACAACCACAGCGTATCTAGCGCAGCCCTCTCATCCAATGGCCAAGTTTTCACTGGCGTGAACGTGTTTCACTTCACAGGCGGACCATGTGCCGAGCTCGTGGTCCTTGGTGTGGCTGCCAGTGCCGGGACCCCTCGCCTATCGCATATCGTTGCAGTTGGTGAAGACGGCGGTGATGGAGTTATTTTCAATCCATGTGGTCGGTGTCGACAGGTGCTGCATGATTTACATCCTGGGATTCGGGCTATCGTGCAAAAGGATGGAGAGGTGAAATCCGTTAGGATTGATGACTTGTTGCCTTACTCCTATGACCATAGGGAGTAGGATAATAGTATACAGCCTTTATTATGTACATTAGTTATATAGTTACACGCACAAGTAACACACAGTAAAAATACATCCCAACAAACTATGTAGACCCTGGTATGAGTCCATAGTTTGATCCACCAAGAGCTTGAATCAAATCCAAGTAGCGTAGTCACTTCCCAAAACCGTCTCCTTCGTGACCGCCCCCGAGATGTGGCTCAAGAACTGGCGCGCAGAAGTGCTAGACCCAGCCCCAGTATTCTTGTACTCATAGTACAATGGTGTAGCACCCTTTGCCATTGGAGTCCATCCCTTGGCATTGACCACACTACCCAAATTGGAGTTCTGGTAGATGACGCGAGCAAGACCACGCCACGGACGACCAAGGAATACACTACCATCGGCGACAGAACCCTTGACATTGCAGTGGTCGAATGCATACCAGGTCTTGTCGGTGGGTATCTGTCGCGAACTGGCGGTGATAGCGCCAGGGCCGTTGGAGACGATGTCGCAGTTGTTGAACCAGGCGGAAGCCGCACCGAAGATGTAGTCCACAGCTCCTAGGGATTGTTAGTATATAGTTAATAGTGAGAGTGAAAATGACTTACCCTCAATCTTCGAGTTGGAATAGTACTGTGTTCCAGCCTTGGCGAACAGGGTATCCTGGTATCCAAGGAACTGGCATGCGTAGAAGCCGAGCTTATCGGCATTGGCGACGAGTCTGGTAGAGTCAGTTCATAATTCAAATACTAAAGAAAGAAAGAAATATTCACGCAACAGCCTGTGCACCTTTCCCGAATCCATTCACCACATTTATATTGTGCATCTTGAACCGAGGGGCGACAACATTCACAGTAGCACTCTTATCCAGCGAGCCAGCGACAGGGGAAGAGATCGTGTGGGTAATGGTCACAGTATTCTCCTTGTACGTATCCGCATCAGCAGTCTGGCCATACAAAGTTAACGCACCGCCATAGTTGATAGTGAGCTGTTCCTTGTATGTACCACTTGCGACATAGATACAAGCTGGGGCCTTAGAAGATCCGAGAACAGTCAATGCAGCGCCGATAGTGGAGTACTTCCCGCTCGAACCGACTGTCAAGCATCCTGCGGGGGCACTGGTCCTAGCTGTGCGAGCAGCTAGTTCAGTGGGTGCGGCCAGGACAGCCGCGCCCAGGGATAGGGCTACGAGGAGGAAGTTGTGGGGATGCATTTGACAGGGATGGTTGTTTTACTCCGTGCATTTTACAAAGAGGGAATGATTGTCGGTTTATGTACTCCGTACACTCCGTATACTACATAAAATAATGTCTAGTATACGGAGTATACGATGGTTGTTTCAAGGTGAAACCCCACATGAGCTTACCGGAAGCCTCGGTATAGTTGAAAGAGGGTAAAATGATACATCTTTCTCCGAGACATTTCCATATGCAGCCAGATTTCTGTAACTGTGGTTAAGGGGTCAATATATAGAGCTAAAGATATCCACAATAGATTAATTTTCCCATTTCTCTTAATTTGACATGAGATAGTTTGACCGACTTCCGTGACTATAACGGAAGTGGATATGGTATAGCCAATTCGTAGATCAGGAGAACAACCCAGTGGGTAATCCAATCGGGTATTTGGATCATACATCTCACTCACTGAACAAATTATTCCTCCAGTGACCAGCTTCGGGGCTAAAACAGAGGTTGTTTCAGGTTGTCTTACTTATCCGTCGACGAAACATTGGAACCACCACATGCAAAGTACGAAAAGGAGAAGAGAAAAGTTATAAAAGCTATCATCCACTACAGAGTATATATGTAGATATATCCAGACCATACCTGTGATACTCTCACTCACTTGCGCCATGTCGATAACAAAAGCCCTCGCGGTCTTTGCCCTCCTGGGCTCATCTCTCGCCCTACCAGACGCAAGACACCAACATCATGTTCGTGCTTCAGCTTGCACACCAGTAGCAGGTGGATCTGATGATACTCCCGCTATCGCAGCGGCAATTGCCAAATGCGGCAAGGGAGGCACTATCATCATCCCCGCCGGCAAAACCTACAACCTGAATAGCCCTCTTGATTTCGCAGGATGCGCTGGCTGTGACTTCCAGTTGGAAGGCACCTTGAAATTCAGCTCGTCCACAAATGTCTGGAAGGGACAGACCGCAATGATCAACATCAAAAAGATCGATGGACTTAAGATCCGCTCTCTGTCAGGCAAAGGAGTCATTGATGGAAATGGACAAGAGTCGTATGTATTCATTCCTTTCCTTTTCCTTTTTATTTTTTTTTTTTTTCGGCTCCCATTTCAGTTCACTAATATCATGTATAGATGGGACCTTTTCGCCAAAGACAGCAGCTACCGCCGTCCAACCCTGCTCTACATCACCGGTGGCTCTAACATCGAGATCTCAAACATCCACCAAAAGAACCCACCCAACGTCTTCAACTCGATCAAGGGCAACACCAAGACGGCGAAGTTCCTCAATCTGAATATGGACGCCACATCCCAAAGCAAGAATGAGCCGAAGAACACAGACGGCTTCGACATCGGTGCCAGCACAGATGTGACCATCAGCAACGTCCACGTGAAGAACGACGATGACTGCGTGGCCTTTAAGCCCGGCGCAGACGGCGTTATTGTCAAAGACATTACCTGCATCGGAAGCCACGGACTATCGGTGGGATCCCTGGGAAAGACTGCGGAGGACTTCGTGAAGAATGTGCATGTGTCCGGCGCGAGGATGGTTAAGTCGACCAAGGCGGTGGGGATCAAGACATATCCCACTGGCAACGGCCACGCCAAGTCGACAGTGAGCAATATTACTTTCACGGATATTGTCGTTGATGGGAGTGACTATGCGATTCAGATCCAGAGTTGTTATGGAGAGAAGGGTGATTACTGTGTGAAGAATCCTGGAGATTCGGACTTGACGGGTATCGTTTTCGACAATATTAGTGGTAAGACGAGTGGAAAGTATAAAGCTGTTACGGGCAGTCTTTCTTGTGGAGCTCGTGGAACTTGCGATGTCAAGGTTAGCGGCTATACTGTTGTCGCGCCAACTGGGGGTAGCGAGGTGCAGTGTGCTAACACCCCGTCTAAATTGGGGGTGAAGTGCACTGCAGGTGCCTCGGGCTGAGAATGGAGGAGACCTAATGTATAGTATTGTGGTTTATGGGAGAATATTGAAGATATACTGAAAAAGAAAGCTCTATGCAATTTTGCGGTATATAAGAAAAGAGATATGTTCGTCATACACGCGGGATTTCCAACGCAGTACACCAGAACCAGTCATTCAATGTTTACGAGGAGGCAATCATCTTGTCCTTCACGTAGAGGTCGACATACTGGTCGACATCGTAGTTCTCCAGCTGAGAGCGGTTCCAGCCCAACTCCAGCAGCTCATCAACGCGAGCCTTGTCAAAGTGCGCCTCGATATGACGCTTGTACTTGGCCAGAATCTCAGGCTTGGCTTCCTCGCGGCGGAGACGGTGGCCCAGAGGAGCCTCGACGATGATCTCCTCGAGGACAGTGCCGTCGTTCAGGGTGACGGTCAGCGCGTTGGGGATGATACGCTTGCTGGGGTCGTGGTAATCGGCGGTGAACTTGGTGTCCTCGACACAGCGAATCTTCTTGCGGAGATCCTCCAGCAGAGGGGAGGTGGCGGCCTCGGAGCCGTCCGCGTAGTCGCTAGCGGTCAGGCGACCAAAGACGAGCATGGTGGCAACCATGTACTGCACACAGTGGTCGCGGTCGGCAAAGTTGTCCATCTCCTTGAACTGTTTGTCGATGATGCGGATGCATGCCTCATGTGTACGGTTGGTGATCTCCTTGATGTCCTTGGCACTCTTGTCCATGGCCGCAAGCTTGGCATTGACCTTTTCAGCGGCTTCAATGGCAGTCTGAGAGTGGAACTCGGCTATGAAAAGGTGTTAGCCGTCATCAATCTCTACAAAGGGTCATTTCTGCAAAGTATTTTTGCACTTACCAGGATAGGAAACCTTGAACAGAACGTTTTCCATAACGTAACTGCCGTAGGGGCGCTGGAACTGGAACTTCTTGCCCTTGAACAGGACATCGTAGAAACCCCAGGTGGGTGCAGAGAGAACGGTACGGAGGCCACCTTCGCCCTTCTGGACCTTGAGAACCAGATTGACGGCGCGCTGGCAGGCGTCACCAGCAGCCCACGACTTACGCGACATGGTGTTGGGTGAGTGGCGGTATGTACGGAGAGATTGGCCGTCCACCCAAGCCTGGGTAATAGCATCGGCGGTCTGCCTCTCAGTAAGACCCATCATCTTGGAGACGACAGCGGCGGTCGCAACCTTGACAAGAACAACGTGGTCAAGGCCGACCTTGTTGTAGGAGTTCTCCAGGGCCAAAACACCCTGGATCTCGTGGGCCTTAATCATGGCCTCCAAAACATCATGGATCTTCAGGATCTTGCCGTTGCCAAGGTTTCCACCGGCGCGGTTGGTGCGCGAAATCCAGTCGGCCACAGCCAAGATACCACCTAGGTTGTCCGAGGGGTGACCCCACTCGGCAGCGAGCCAGCAGTCGTTGTAGTCGAGCCAGCGGATCATCGCACCGATGTTGAAAGCGCCATTGACGGGGTCCAGTTGGTAAGGAGTTCCAAACACACGGGTACCATTGGGGACGACAGTACCGTCCACAACAGGGCCAAGAAGCTTCGCGCACTCCTTGAACTTCAGAGCTTCCAATCCACAACCAAGGGTATCTAGGAATACCAGACGGGCAGTGTCAAACTGCAAACAACAAATTCTAGAATTAGCTGGTGCTTCATCTAACTGAGCCGGAGCTAACATACCGCCAAGTCGGAATCCACCTTATAGTCGTGGATGTAACTAGCCATATCCTGAATTTCAGGGTCATAGGACTTGTCGGTATGAACCGCCGGGGCAGTTGATTGACGAGCAGCCATTGTAGAGAAACGGGGAGTGCGAGGAACAGAAATACGGGGAGTGATGGAGAGGGAAGATGCCAAAGTGGGAAATCTGGAGATGCGGGCCAAAGTGCGGGGAGAGGTGTGGGTCAAGCGTCTCACTGCGGGCAGGGACATTGTGAAAGAAGAATTGGGAGGGTTCAACAAATTGACGCAATTGAATAGAGGGAGAGAGGGAGAGGGGATGGATGGTGGTTTTATTTAAAAAACAAAAGGACGAAAGGAGAAATGTTGGGGGAGAAAGGGAGAAAATGGCCGGGGAAGAGTTCCAAGCTGACTTCATCCTGCCGAGGGTCGGTTACAGTCGGGTATTATTTCACTCTCCTATTTCCACCTGGGGCATGTCTATGGGATTAGTTTATCTTGTCTACAGGTCAACATGCCAATAATTAAACTAATACTTTCTTAATGGACAGATCTTATTGCTATATTTCCATCTGTTGAGCTCCCTAGAACATGGGGAATCCGAGTATCGGACGTAAAGAAACCCAGCAAATAGACATTAGCTACAAGATGTAGCGAAATCGGAATGTCCGTGGTCCGAATGTGCAAGAAAGAATAAAAAATACGAATATCTTTGCCACTGAGATGGGGGCTCACATCGAGCTCTCTCTTCACCCTCGGCTGATCTGCACGTGAGGTGAGACAGATCAGCACCAGAGGACCTCATTCTCAATCCCAACCCCCAACTCCCCTCCTCCCCTCCTCCTATTCCTCATCTTTCTTTTTCTTTTTTTTTTTTTTTTTTTTTTTATCATCTCCCTGGTCAGTGGAAGATTCCCATGGCCTCCTCTGTATCAGTCTCACACAGAGACTTGACGATCTCTCCATAGATGGCCTTGGCAAAGAGCGGGGGCACGGCATTTCCGATCTGCTTGCGCATAAATCTTCCAGTAAACTGGAAGTCCAGGGGAAATGTCTGCAACAGGGCCATCTCACGACTGGTATAGGGCCGGGTCCCCGAGGGGTGGTAGTTGTATTCGCCTCCCCCGCAAGTAATGGTCCTAGCTAGAGAGTCGCGATCAAACGAAGGTCGGTGGCTCAGAGCCCACCGCGCCAGTCCCGCTTCAACATTGTGATCGTCAGCATCAGGAGGGATGTTGTCGATGGTGGATGAAATGGTCGCTCGGGGAAGTAAACCGTGACCAGGCTGGCCGTGAGTGGGTGGGGCATAATGTGGCAGAACTTCACCGGGTCTATGAGCACGTCGTTAGATAAATGGAAATATGAAAAGCTTCGTCTTTCATTTCACTTACCCCGCAGCAATGACAAGCAGCCTCTTCCGCTCCTGAGGCACACCATATTCGTCACACCCCAGTACCGACCAGCGAACAGAATATCCAAATTCAACCATGTCCAGTACAACTCGGTTAAATATAACGGGAAATCGTTGCGGCAATCCCATGGTTTCCTCCATTGTCAACACCCGGGGCCGTGATTCTCGAAGTAGGCTTCCAGCCGAAAAGACGCAGGCGGAGTTGGCGTCATCACGAGGGCAGGGCACAGTATGAGCAGGCGACCAAGTTTGGCAGGGGGGTGAGCAGTGTGCAATATCAACTCGTAGGAATCTCGGATCGTTGGTAAGGAAACTGAAGAAGTCCGAATGCTCAACCTCTACATCGTCAAAATTCATTTGATATGTTTCCAGTGCATATTTGTCGATATCAACAGCCCATTGAAGCTTCACGCCAGCTTGCTTGGCCCCGCAAGACACACCACCAGCACCACAATAGGCGTCACCGAAGGTGTAAGCACGGTCAGGAGCAGTCAAATCAATCACACCCTGTCGTTCAAGATCCCTAGCCATGGAAGACGCCCTAGCCTCACCGAAAGGCACAGTCACCCCCCTCCATTCGGCACGCAGTTGGTTCGCGGGTTTGCCAAGTCCTGGGTCTGATTCGGAGAAGTTCAACCATTCAATTGCACACTGCTCTGCACTCAAAGGTGGGTGGCCAGGGATAATGACAACCCCGTTCTGGCGAATGGTGAGCTTCAGACGGCAAGTCAGTTCTGCTCCCGGTGTGAGATTGTTGAAATCAGTCCGAAAGTTGGTGAAGCGAATGGGCACAACCTGTCTGACTCTCTTGATGCTGACGTGGTCTGTGTTCTGAGTAAGCCAGACCAATTCATCGTTGAGTTTTGGAAGGTATGTCTTGGCTTCTGGGTGAGTCGTGCGGTAAAGACGCCTGCCGAAAAGACGCAGGTCATGAGGTTGAGGAATCACGTCTTGGACACGCATAAAAGAGCCGTCATCAAGCTCTAGGGAAATTCCAGCTTTGAACACAACACCCCCAATGGTTATTCCTCGGTGCGTTGTCTCTGGCGTTGGGCTGCAGCTGGCAGACTGGTTGCTGATGAGAGAAGAGTTGCCGGAAGACCGGACACTCGCCGAGTCGTCGCCGGGGGCGATGGCGGAGGGGGCTGCAACATTGGCCATGTCAGAGGTCAATTCTTCCATAGCTTGATTGCTTTCGTCGTCGCAAGTCAGGTCAATCACTGTCTGCGTGTTCTCGGTGGCCCGGAAGGGGGTGGGACTGGCCTCCTGAGTATTGAAGATATGTGACGGATCCGACATGATGATGTCGTCGTCAGGCATTGTTGGCTCATTAGTTACTGCTCTAAACTCTGCCGTGCTGACCGGAATTGGGTCTCCAAAGGGAGACACCGAAATACGGGATCGATCATTGATATCAGCCATTGGTGTGATGGTGGACTGATGAAAATGTCCCATACTCCGTTTATGTGAAGATTCAAAGACCAGGTTTGAAATTATGGTGAAGAAAACAAATCTCAATATCAGATCGATGGATGATCTTGGGATCTAGAAGGATCTCAAGTTCAGATGACTTCGGAAACACTTCTACTGCTATAGTCGGGTGTTCGAAACCAGCCTTGCGCGGATAAACACAACTTGGCTCGGACATTTGATGTAAAGAGCAGTGGCAGAAGGATTTGCCAGATCCTCTATACATAACAAGTCAAGTGAAGCAACTCCTACGGATTCATCTTTGTATTTCTATCTGGTCAACAAAGCAGGAGATGATACCTAGTTTTGTGAAGCATGAAAGACTGATATAAAGCCATAGTATTCATGTTTATCTCATTGAAGGTGACTCTTGGAAGCTAAGGTTATACATCCATGTAACTACAATATATGTATCAACCTCAACTCTATACAACCTATGTTATAGACGCTTGTCCCTTTTGGGATAGTAGGGCATGGGCCCCGGGGGTCATGTGGAGCACTGCTGACTCATACCATCGCCCCGAGGTCGGCCCGGGCAAAAAAGAGAGAAAATTTAATTCTGTGGGGCAGCACAACGACCGAAGAAACACATCTACCATGGAATATTTCCCTCCCTCTTTCTGTCTTCTTGGGGTGGTGTTCATTTCTAGTGATGACCATTCTCTAAACTTCACTCCTTCTTTTACGTGATCTGGTTTTGGTAAGTGGTACGGTTTTATTGTTCTTTGACTTTCAGCTTTATTCAAAGTAACCCTCCTCCCTGTCTCTTATGATGAATTATGGTTTTTTATAGATGTTAGACTTCCTAAACAATTGTTGCGGAGAAAACACCTGAACTGATTTGAGACACTGCAATCTTGCTATACGCTGTGAATACAATGGATGAATACTGGTACTAATTATCTTCGTCATTCACAGAAAACCTACCCTCCGTCAGGATGTGTGGTATCATTGCACTGATTCAGGCGAACCCCTCATCTGCGGCCGCCGTGGATCTCCACGAGGCACTTTACCTTCTCCAACGTGAGTTCCGGCCACAATATATACCCCTGCGACCGCGAGGCTAAAAAGGTTTTGGTATCACAGATCGTGGTCAGGATGCAGCCGGTATTGCAACATGCGCGTCTGGCGGTCGTATATACCAACTCAAGGCCAACGGCATGGCTGCCAAGGTCTTCCAAGAAGGTGCTAAGGTGGCCAATCTCCCCGGCTCCATGGGTATTGGCCATCTGCGGTATCCGACCGCAGGATCCAGTGCCAATGCTGAGGCCCAGCCGTTCTACGTGAACAGCCCCTACGGTATCTGCTTTGCGCACAACGGTAACCTGATCAATGCCGGGGACCTCAAGAAACACCTTGACCTTGAAGCCCACCGTCATATCAACACCGATAGTGACAGCGAGCTGATGCTCAATGTCTTTGCTGATGAGCTAAGCGAGACCAAGAAGGCCCGTGTCAACCACGAGGACCTCTTTGCCAGCTTGACTCGCATGTATAAACGTTGCGAGGGTGGATGGGCCTGCACTGCTATGCTTGCTGGTAAGTTACCAATCAGTCGTGGTGCTCTCTAGTCTATAATACTAACTCGCAATCTAGGCTTTGGAATCTTGGGTTTCCGTGACTCATACGGTATCCGTCCCCTCATTTTGGGCTCTCGTCAGTCCGCGGATGGACCTGGCATGGACTACATGATGTCTTCTGAATCAGTAGCTCTGGACCAGCTGGGTTTCACCAACCACCGTGACATTCAGCCTGGTGAGGCGGTTATCATCGCCAAGGGCAGTGAGCCGGTCTTCCGCCAGGTGGCTCCCAAGAAGGCCTATGCCCCAGATATTTTCGAGTATGTCTACTTCGCTCGCCCTGACTCCATCATGGATGGCATCAGTGTGTACCGTAGCCGGCAACGCATGGGAGACCGTCTCGGTGCACGGGTCCTCGATATCTTGGGTCCTGAGGTCGTGAAAGACATTGACGTGGTCATTCCTATTCCTGAAACGGCTACTACGTCCGCGTCCAATGTCGCACTATACCTCAACAAGCCTTACTGCCACGGTTTCGTCAAGAACCGTTACGTCTTCCGCACTTTCATCATGCCGGAGCAAAAGACACGGCAAAGGGGTGTCCGCCGCAAGCTCAATGCCATGAAGGCTGAGTTTAAGGACCGCAATGTCCTGCTGGTTGATGACAGTATTGTGCGTGGTACGACCAGTCGCGAAATTGTCAATATGGCCCGGGAAGCTGGCGCTAAGAAGGTCTACCTTGCCAGTTGTGCGCCAGAGATTACACATGCCCACATCTACGGTATTGACCTTGCCTCCCCTCAAGAGTTGGTTGCGCACAACCGGAACTCAGAGGCCATCGCCAAGCACATTGGTGCGGAGGCGGTTGTCTTCCAAACCCTACCTGATCTCAAGGACGCCTGTGCCGAGGTTGCCCGTGAGAATGGTCAGGAAGAACCTACAAACTTCGAGGTCGGTGTCTTCTGTGGTAGCTACGTTACCCCCGTTTCATCCGGTTACTTCGAGCATCTCGAGTCCGTCCGTGGCGAAGGCCGCAAGGTCAAGGCTCTTGACAAGGCCAAGGAGGCTGTCACTAATGGCTTTGCCAACATGACCGACTTCCAGATCGCCGCCCACGGAGTCACCATGGACACCAATGGCAAAATTATCCCTGCCGCTGATAACGAGTCGGCAATTGGTGCCACCAAGAAGCAGGCCAGCAATCCCGAAGACCAACATAACCCGAAGGTCTCGGACCGCATGGACATTAGCATCCACAACCAGGCTGACCATGAGGCATGATTATGAGACATCTGATTTATAATCTGATTTTTATTTATTTTTTTCTCCACCATTTTGGTAATTTGCATTGGGTGTCTGGGCGTTTGTTTGAGGGAGCATATGTGCTAAGTGGCTGTTTTTGGCTACATGATGTGGAAATGATGTGGAAATGCATTGAAAATGCCAATACCCGGTGTCTTGAGATACACTTGTCAATAACTCTTGATGAAGCTAAACTAAATGAAATATTCCAATGTTGTTGAAATCATGCTGTTTTTGGATTTTGGCCATTGTCCCAAAGAGGCAGGTCACGTGCCAAAAGTCATTGGCCAGTAGCATCACCTGATTCCCTGCGCATCATCCATTAATGCGATCATCTGCGTTGAGCATCTTTTAATCTTCAGTCCCCTCGTTGATGGTTAGAATGAATTGATACACCTTGATATACCGGTTATCCGTTGTCGGCTCTTATACACAAGACTATCTATACAACATTACAGGAAATCGACCTTTGCTGCAGGCCGTCTGGCCTGACCTTCTCTATCATGGAACGCCGCATTACTCGCTCCGCAGCACGGGCTGCTGCTGCATTGATTGCGAAAGAAGAAAATAGCCCTTCGGCCACTCAAGCACCAAACACTACTGAAGCGAACAAACGAAAGCGTCTCAACCCCACTGGCAATTCCAATGCCTCCAATGCTCTGAACACGCATAAGATCAACACCACTGATTTGAAATCCCCCAGTAATGATAATACCACGATTAAACAAGAGAAGCCGGTGTTGCCCCCAGCCCCGTTCGATGAACTCCCTCACAACCTAGGATCTGTCCCGGTCCCATTGTCCATAGCAGCAGAGCCCACAGTCTCAATTACTGGATCTGACAAGGAAAACCAAACTTTAAACGGGAATCAGGTCATAAATCTGGCTACTGAGCTTCAAGACACTGTGGACAAAGCTACAACCAAGCTGAAGAAAGAACCCAAGATACAAACTACCCCAACCGGCCGCAAGTTAAAGAAGAGTACTTATGGCTTGACGCCTGGTATCTCTCCTTTCCCCGAACTAGGTCGACCAACCACTGAGGAGTGTGAAAATGTCAATGAGCTATTGTCCAGCATTCATGGGGTAGTTACTGCTCCAGCAACTATCCCTGAGCCCTCCCTGACGGTCACCGGGTGTGGTGAGGTCCCGTCCGTTCTGGATGCTTTAATCCGCACTCTTCTCAGTGGTGCGACCACAGGCAACAATGCTGCCAAGGCATTTGGTGGGCTTGTGCAACGATTCGGCGTTCTTTCTGAAGGCATCGGCAAAGGAAGCGTGAATTGGGATGCCGTACGACAGGCCACTGTGAAAGACGTGTTTGAAGCGATCAAAAGTGGCGGCTTGGCCGACATCAAAAGCAAGAACCTCAAGGCGATTCTTGACATAGTCCATGAGGACAACCAGGCACGCCGAGCTACATTGCTAAATTCCGAGTCTAAGAACGACTCAATGTCCAAACTGGTCCCTGAAAAGGCTGAAAAGGACAAGCAATACGAGATTGCCTGCGCAGATCAGAACTTCCTCTCTCTCAACCACCTCCACAATCTCAGCACTGAAGAAGCCATGACCGATCTGATCAAGTACCCCGGGATCGGACCCAAGACAGCCGCCTGTGTGATCCTGTTCTGCCTCCAGCGGCCCTGTTTCGCCGTCGACACACACGTCTTCCGGCTCTGTCGCTGGCTAGGATGGATTCCTGCTCGTGCAAACGAAGTAACTGCCTTCAGCCACCTGGAAGTGCGCATTCCTGACCACTTGAAGTACTCGCTCCACCAGCTGTTCATCCGACATGGGAAGACCTGTCCCCGATGCCGAGCTGCTACCGGCGAGTCCAGTGCTGGCTGGGAGAACGGCTGCATCATTGATCACCTGTTAACTCGCGACGGGAAGCGTAAGGGCAATGGTCCGACTGTGGTTTCGAAAAAGAAAGCAGCTGCTAAGAGCGCGGCTAGTAAGCGCAAGAGGACGAACAAGGACCCCGAGGAGGAGAGTGACGAAAGCGAGAGTTCAATTTCCGACGAAGCGAGTGACGAGTGAACGCATTCATGACAACGAAACTATGTTATATGAAGGTGGAATCTTTACGAAAATGAGAATTGATGAAATGGATGTATGACGATTAATGGCTTAAGCCCAATATTTGTATTCTATAGTATTACCAATTTACCGTATTGCTCTTGCTCTCAATACTTTAACAAAATTCATTCTTCTGATATTCCTAGAACATAGTCTATCTTGTATGGCACAACTAGGCCTGGGGTAGTACCCCCGGGGCCGGACAACTTATCGCCTTATCGCAAACACAAAAGTCTCCGGAACTCCCTTTACTCTCTCTCCCAACAACACTTTCCAGTTGTCCGATTGCACCATTCCCGCCATGGATTGTCTGGCATCCCACATTCCGCCCTCTCTGCGCACTCTTCTGGAGGCCTACGCGCCTCCCGGATCGGCAGAGTACGCCCCGCACATCGCAGTCGCGTTCACCTCCCTTGTCGCCGTATACGTGGGGTACCTCTACCTCCAGAGCTGGAGAGAGGCAGCGGTCATTTTCAATGTTCCTATCCCATCTGAAGTGCGCAAGAGTGGATCGATCAAGACATGGGATGAGGTTCAGGGGCAGCAGAAAATGGTCTTGCAGGATCAAGCTCGTGGAGTGAGTTGAAGTCTTTGACTCGGGGTTATCTGTACTCAAGCTAATTGCTGGTCTACTACGCAGAAATGGAACCATCAATTGATTATGAGCTACAGTCCTGCCGATGGGAGGGTGCTCGGTAACGGAATCAAGCCCGCTACGGTCGAAGATGTCAACAAGGCCGTTCAGGTTGCGGGAGCTGCTCAACCGGAGTGGGCGAAGACCACCTTTGCGGAGCGCAGAAAGGTTCTCCGGACACTGCTGAAGTATGTGGGGTGGCAGATTTTCCCCGTCCCATGAAACGATTGCGCGTTGCGTACGGCGCCCCTAAGGCTTGTCCAACTAACATCTCGCAGATATGTCCTAGACCACCAAGAAGACCTCGTTACCGCATGCTGTCTGGATTCGGGTAAAACAAAAGTTGACGGCTCATTCGGCGAGATCCTTGTGACAGTGGAGAAGCTCAAGTGGACAATTGACCATGGCGAGAAGGCACTACTACCAGAGCGGCGGCCGACCAACTTCCTGATGATGTACAAGAAGAACACAGTCACATACGAACCGCTAGGCGTGGTGGGTGCCTGCGTGTCTTGGAACTACCCGCTACACAACTTCATCGGTCCGATCATCAGTGCGCTGTTTACTGGTAACGCAGTTGTTGTCAAACCGTCCGAGCAGACCGCATGGTCTGCAATCTACTTCCTCGATATGGTGCGCGGCGCGCTCTCTAGCTGTGGCCACTCACGCGATCTGGTCCAGTCGATAGTCTGCCTACCCAATGTGGCTGATACATTCACCTCGCACCCTGATATCGCGCATATAACATTTATTGGATCCCGACCCGTTGCCCACCACGTCTGCACATCAGCAGCCAAGTCTCTCATCCCCGTATGTGTCGAGCTGGGTGGTAAAGATCCTGCCGTGATCCTGGACGACTCCCGCACTCTTCGCAATATTTCCTCCATCGCGTCTATCCTCATGCGCGGTGTCTTCCAGTCGTCTGGTCAGAACTGCATCGGCATCGAGCGTATTATCGCCCTCCCCAACGCATACGACCGACTCATCGAAATTGTAACACCACGAATTCAAAATCTCCACCTCGGCTCTGTCCTCCTCGACACCGCAACCCCAGACGTTGGTGCGATGATCTCCCCTGTCTCCTTCGCCAAGCTGGAGGCACTCATCAACGAAGCCGTGCAACAAGGCGCACGTCTCCTCGCCGGCGGCACCGAACACAAGCACCCAGTCCACCAACACGGCCACTACTTCACACCAACTCTACTAGTGGACGTGACACGCGACATGCGGATCGCGCAGACAGAGCTCTTCGCCCCCGTCTTCCTTATGATGCGTGCGGAGTCTGTATCCGACGCAATTGCCATCTCAAACTCAACGCCGTATGCCCTAGGCGCCAGCGTCTTCGGACACCGACAATCGGACGTGCAAGCCTGCGTGTCGAAAATATCTGCCGGAATGGTAGCGATCAACGACTTTGGCGCCTTTTACGCCGTGCAACTGCCGTTCGGCGGCGTGCGTGGATCTGGATATGGCCGGTTCGCGGGCGATGAGGGACTGCGCGGTCTGTGCAATCTCAAGTCCGTTTGCGCTGATCGATTCCCTACTTTGATTGGCACTGGTATCCCGCCGCGCGTGGACTATCCTATCCAGGACCGGTCGAACGCGGCGGATGCTAAGGGTGGGGTTGCCGCATGGGAGATGTGTAAGGGTATTGTTGAGATGGGATATCAGTTGACGCTGGGTGGACGTATTGCTGGTATTCTCCGGTTGTTGAGGAACCTATGATGGGTTTGCCCTTCAGGAAATCATTCCAAAATTCTTGTTTGATATCGATATTTTTGTACTATACATACTCCATCTTGCTATAGGTAATACCTCCAGCTGTGGGAACATTTAATTCAAAGTAAATTATTATTACAGATTTATATGTGGGACTCTATGATACATGACAGAATATCTAACATCCGGGTATAGCGCTAACAAGGAAGTCCTGGTGAGACTACTCGGAACAATATCATGGAGGAAGAGAGGGGCCGAACTTCTTCAGCCAGTGATCTTCAGTTCGGAACGAACTCTCCATCATCCAATTCCCTAATGGTCCGCGGAAGGCATCAAGAACCTCATCGACAAAGCGACGGCCCTCAAAATCCGTGACATCCAACTGACCATTACAGAACAGCTGACCAGTCGGGAATTCATGGGCATGCTCAACCTTCGCAGGGAGACGCAGCAGGAAATTCGACAACCAGCGCGCAAACTTACCATTAGTCTGGTTATAAGTATCCGGGTTCTTCTTGGCGAGTTCCATATTGTCCACAGTCCACTTGGTGATCTCGGATGACCAGCAAGGCAAGGACTCCGCACTAGCACGGAGAAGAGCCTGGAAGAAATCCAAGTTGAGATGGGGCTTGTCGCGGCCGGTGCGGGTAACAGCGAGGAAATGCTCGATCGGGATCGTATAGTAGACGCTGCGGCGTTGGTTCTCTACTTTATAGCGGAAGAGGAACTCGTCGATTTTGAGGAGGGAGAGCATGGCGTCGAAGTTCTGGTGACGAATTGCGTTCTGGATTCCTTCGTTCAGGGCTCTGCGGTCGACTTTCGTCAGAGTCGAGGGCGTCAAGGAGCTCGTTGGAGGGGTCCAATTGCACGAGGTTATGCGTAGCATCTCTAGGAAATCAACGTCTTCCGGAAGGAATCCGTTGCTGCGGCCTCGGAGGAGATGGGATGGGAATTTGCACAGGTCCAGTGCAGGGATATTGACGGTCAACCCCACATCCACACATTGGAGCTCGGTGGTGACCATTGGCATGATATGGAGCTTGTATTCGTGAATGCCGTTCATTGCGTTCAGGATCACGCGGAAGCACTCTGGGGGCATGCTAGCTATTTCCTTCATTGGGCCGCCCTTGCCGTGGAAGATGCGGACGCTGTCGTCCTTACGTGTTATGAGCTTTTCAAACGCATCCTGCTCCTCCTTCTCCGTCACAATGCCGGCGTTGATCCAGCGACGGTAGATACTCAGGATCTGCATTGTCGGGACCTGTTCGCGCACGCGGTCCACGGTACACCACCTGCATTTGAATACGGCTTCTTGTAATCGGGCGCGTTCGTCCAGTTTGAGAGGAACGTAAGTGAGCGGGACCATCATCCGGTCAATGGCCTTGCTACGGGGGTTGTCGAGCGCATCATTCCAGAACGCAAGGAGGATGAGAGCGCGGTAGATATGTTCACCGGAGAGGGCGCGGGATAGGAACGGCGAAGCTCGGGGAAGGTTTAGATTGAGCGAGTTTAGGAATATCTGCTCAATGATCTCGACGGGGAGGGCCTCGAGTATGGAGATTCTGCGGGGAGTATGCGGGCGCGAGATTCTAGGTCTGGGCGAATTAGAAGGACGGTCGTAGGGGCTCGACCTCGACCGAGAGGACCGGGAGGACCGAGATGAGCTGCTCCGAATCGGGTTCTTGAAGGTGCGACCTGGTCGGCGCTTCGATTTGGGGATAGGTGAGCTGCTTGCGGGCTCTGGCGGAGCAAGCTTTGGCCGCGTCACAATTTCATCCTCGTCTTTTGGGGGGCCCATGGAGGAATTGAGCCTTCTCGCTATCTGGAGTAGATCAATCTTGGAGCATGAATCATTTCTGATTCGTGTCTGGTGACTTTAATTGTAGTATGCTGCACTTGCGCATATAACCTCAGAAAGTATACAACGTTGCAGCCAACTCCGAGCCTCCCCTCGTCTGATTGGCGGAAAAGAGCCCGACAGGTAATGGCTTGGCGTTAGGGCTTGGCACTGGAGGGCATGAAAGTCACATGATAGCACATGATTTAACCCCCGCCTGTTGCTAAATTGGGTTTAGCCTGGTATCAAATGACGTCAAAGACTATCAGTAAGAAAAGCTATCACAGAAGAATATCATTTGAATGAATAGTGTATATATATCTATATATCTATATATCTATCTATATATCAACCTTGAAATTAAAACTGGAGCTATTCTTAAACATTAGACCACCCATTTAAAATCCATCAATTGCCCCACCAAGCCTCCAAAGTAAAGATTCTGTGCTGTCGAACAAATCCGAAAACAAGGAATGGCCCCGGTCTGTGTCGAGATGACGGAATGATGGTACCTTGACCATTTAGCTATGGGCTCCATTACAAAATAGCACTACTTTCCATATTCGATCTTTCTCTCTTATTCTTCACCGAACCTTGAAATCCTGTCATAGCTTTGCCAACGACGTCACTGGCGTTTGCACCTTACAATTCCTGAAATTCTAACGCCTCGCAAGACAAGCTTAACTGCACGAATTTGCCAATCAATCGCCTCTTTCGGACAACCACTTACGTATCCAAACAAGAAAACATCAGTTCCTGTCTAAGACGATCATTGTTACCATTCTTTATTTAAGCCTCCTCTCCATCTATTTCATTCATTTCCTTCAATATGCACCCTTTCAGTGATCCAACTGTCCACACACACGCTTCCTCTAGCTCAGAGTCTACTGCCACCTCCAAGCCAAAATAAACCAACACCTTGATAAAAGCCCCAACAAAAGCTCTTCATCTTCAATATGGGTGCTGTCGTCTCTTGCGTATGTGAACTGCATCTGCCTTCCAGGTAACCTCAACTAACATACCTACCTCTAGATCCAAGGCGTCTTCCGCGCCATTGGTAGCTGCCTCATGGCCATCGTCAACGCTATCGGCTCCATCTGCCACGCCATCATCAGCGGTGTGGTCACAGTGATCGATGTCATCATCTCCTGTCTGACCTGCGGCTACTGTGGAAATCGTCGGCGAGGTCGTCGATCAGCAGTATGATAGGAAACAAATTATCACGTCCGTACGCATATCTATGAGTCCACGAGGATAGGAGCGTTGGGTATGGGTTCTACGATTGTTATGTCGGCGCGAGTTTTCTTTTGTCATTTTATCTTCTTGGAGTTTATACCCCGTGGTGTATTTTTCAATTATCAATCATGAATCGAATTTGGGTTACAAAATACTTGATATCGACGTATATTGTATCTATATTGTTTCTCTTCCGTAGGAGATAGGCATGTAGAATAATGTATATATACATATAAATCATTGAAGTATGGACATGGAATTGCACATATATGACTGGATATACACTAGCAAGTCAAATCTTTTTTTAAGAAGCAAATATATCAATACCCGTCTTTCGGCGAAGAGGACTCAACATATCGCAACAGATCCCGCTTTGCTTCTGTGGGCATATCATCCCAACGCTCATTCAAGATAACATTTGCAAACGGATCCCCCGGTCCACTTCCACAGCGCCGGACGAGCGAATAATGTGAATGCTGTAGCGGCCAGCGCGTAGGGACACGACAATTTGCAGCACGGAACGATATACGCAGCAAGCGAGTAAAAGGCTCGATCTTGCGCGTTCGAATGAGACGATATGTGATCTCCGAGGATCGATCAGGCCTGGCCTCATCCTCATCCAGGTAGAAGTCCGAAGAGAGCAGCTGTAAGAACTCAAACTGCGCATCTGACCAGGGCGAGCGCAAGACCTTATCCGGAATGCGGCCGGGTCCAATAGCCACCGAGCACGGCAGCCGGAAGAGGTCATTCTCATGGTATATCTCGTGGGATTTACGGATCTGGAGAGCGCCAAAATGGAACCATATTGCCACTTTGCGGTCGACATTACGAGAAGACGGGGTCTGCAATGTTTTCCCAAGCTGTGCGGGGATCACTAGATCCCCTTTTCCACGCCGGCCGAGTACAGCCCAATCGCAAGCTTCTAGGTTTTCGAAGCGTGGGTCCAGATTTGATAGCATTTCTTGGTCGTCTGGATGGAATACCAGGCCGGCACATTTGCGACGGATGGCATGGGCAACGTACTCACGCTGGCATTTCCGGAGCAGGGAAAATGTGCACCACCGACATGCCAGCAGGTCGGTCTGTAATCTTTGGCGCTCTTTCCATGACAAAGCCCAGAAATCCAATGGTGGGGGTAGGAAATCCGGGGTAAAGAAGCCTTCCCGGGAGCCTGAGTTGGGGCTGCTGAATGCAAGCCGAATGAGCCAGGTATAGAGCAATGGAGTGGACAGTGCCTGGCTGAGACGCGGTGAGGCACGAGGGAGGTTCACTTCCAGGCTGTGAAGAAAGATCAACTGCAGGATTTCCACGGGCAGTGACTCCAGGCACGAGCTCGAGTGGTCGGCCAACAAATCAGGGGAGGCTAGGCCCATTTGCAACAGTGCGCCTAGAGGTGATGCGTTCTTATATAGCTTGGATATATTGCTCGCAGCAAGACGGTGTTCGCTTATAAATCACACAGTGCGGTATAGTTGTAAAATGCCAGGGAGGAAGAAGAGCAGAGATGGATATGGTTTATCTCAATGGAAACACAGTCCATACGATACCAACTGCAGACTTCGCATAATGTTGTCCCTGTAGCTCCTCGTGACTTGTAGAAAAGACACTTGACAGCGCTTTCAGCACAGTCTCCAATGAAAATAATTGAAAGGAAAAAGCCCGACCCATTCCTGGGAGAGGGGTAGGCGAAGTGGGTAAACTGAGGTGAGTTGCGTGTCTTGGCAAGGTCAGCTTGGAAGCTCCTCATCAGGCACAGTTTTGTATGTAGCGTGATCGTCTGTTGTGCCTAAATGGACTGGAATAGATAGCCGTTTAGTACTTCTTGTTGGAGTTCAAAAAAGAAACGGTATTCGCTTCCAAGGTTGATATTTGATTATATATCTCGATCCCCACGCCTGGAGGGAGCTTGCTTGGATATATATCGGGCATATCAGATGTTTATTGACCTTGTTTTTTTTTTCTGTGAGAGACTACAGCCCATTTCTGGATCGCTTGAATGATAATTTAGTCGCAAAAAGTACAAGGTTACAGTAGAATCTATCAATGAACGCAGAAACGACAAATGTATTGTTTCTATACACATCCCAACTGCCCCACCACACTATCGGAGGTATCTGACCACACACTGGCTGAATAGCCATCTTCTTGGCTCCAAAAGTCATGATCACGAAGTATGATGGAGCAAGGAATAAAAAGGCGGATTTGAGGCCACAAGAGTCCACGCTTAGACAGCGGACAGATCGCCGAAGCGCTCCTAAAAAAGGAAATGATATAAGTATCAAAGCAGACGCATTTCTCCCAGCAAGAAAGTCAACACATACCTTGTAGCCAGGGGGCATCCACTTGCCCTTGGAGACGAGGGAAGCGGTCTTCTCGTCGATCTCGGGCTGGGCGGCGGCAACTTCGTCCTAAAAAGACAGTCGGGTAAGTAATTATTCCAATTCCACAGTCTGCAGCAGATAATACGTACGACAGTGAGGTCCTCGAAGGGACGGGCGGTCTCGATGTTGTCCAGGGTCTTCTGCAGGTTCTGCAGCTCGGCCTCAACCTTACCCTTGGTAGCCTCGGCGTTCTGAACAGCCTGGGATTCGAAGGCGTCGATGGCCTTCAGCTGGCGGTTGACATCGTAGGTAGCGGGCTTGAAGGCCTTGAAGTGGTTCTCGAGCTCATCGATGATGGCCGTGTTCTTCAGGACGCCGCGGTAGTGGCTGAAGTCAACGGTCTGGGACTGCTCGGACAGGACCTGAACCTTGCGGCGAGCCTCATCATTGCGCTTCTTGAAAGCTTGGAGGGAGGTAGCGGTCTGGCCGCGGAGGCCGAGGGAGGTCGACACCTTGGCCCAGTCGATCTTGAGAGCGGCGCTGCGCTGTTTTCGGATGAAGGGAGTTAGCGGGAGTCATTCGGACGGGTTGGCAGGGGGGTTGTCAAGTCGAGTAGGAGGGGCAGAACATACAGCAGCCATTGTGACGGGTATGATAGAGGTTGGGGGTGGGGAGAAGAGAGGGGAGTTCGATGTACAGGGAGGTGCCGAACGAGGAGCGACCCGGAAGGTTTGGATTGTTCGGGTCACGTGATGTCCATTCCGAAATCCACCGTATTGTACAGGCAAAAGACAAATTACACACTGGTCGTGTTAAATTGTTATAAATAACTTATGTACAGGTCTTATTTTTCATCATTGAGAAGTATACGTATTGATGGGTTGACACAATCATGGGTTCAATTGTTTTTTGGGCTAAATTGTGTACACTATGGGCGACAACATGCCAGATATCTTTCACCCGGCATCATAACCCAAGTTCCTCATAGAACCTTAAATAAGGTCACTCATTATATGCTGAGAGCCATGATGGAGTTAACGATATCGTTGTCGTTCTCCCGGAGAGCCTTGACGGCCTTCTTGCGGGAAACGTTTGCTTGTGCCATGACCAGCTCGATATCCTTGGACTCAAGGTTGGACTCATCAACCTCCTCACCGTCGTCCTCCTCATCCTCCTTCTTATCCTCAACCTCGGGGGCCTTAGCCTTACCGAGAATCTCCTCGTGGTCGTGACCGGCGTGGTCGCCAGTGGCCTCGGTGGCAGCGAGCTGCTGGGCGGCGGAAGCCTGGGCCTGGGAGTTCAGGTCCTCAATCTTGGCCTCACCGAAGATGCTAAAGAATGTGTCAGTAAATGTCATCCACATATGACTGAATCTAATTGGGTTCCACATACATCCAGCAGTTGCTGTTGGGGGAACGGTAAACCTCGGGCTGGTTGACAACGAAGAGGATCTTTAATTCCAATAATTAGCATCTCCACATTGGGAATGATCAAGAAATCCCATCCCGTTGGTAGTTAGTGTTGCGGTTGATGATCGCAATCACATTGTACTTGGCGGGGTAGAATTTCTCATGACGGTCGCATCGGGAATCACATACGTTCTTAGGGCGGCGGAGAGTGACACGGGTGATGCCAGGGACGAGCTTCAGACCGAGCTTGCCAATGGCCTTGCGGGCCTTCTTCTCACCACGGGAGTGGACAGCGACGGATGCACCGGCGGGAATGTTGGGCTCATCGCCAGCCTCAGAGCCAGACTCAGAGGAGCTCTCCTCGACGGTCTTGGAGACCTCGTCATCGTGGATTTCTTCAACGCGGGGATCAGCCATTTTTGTGGTGTAAAGGGGCCTAAAAAGAATTCAAAAAGAAGAGTTGATTAGTTGGGTTGGTTCGTTCGACAATGGGTGTCAGGGCTGGTTGAATAGGTGTGAGGGCGGGCATAGTGGGAGAGAGATTCAAGAGATTGGTTAACCTCCCCCACGAATCACCCAACACTCGGGAAAGGGCGAAATTTGACGTTGAAAAGGCGAGAATTCAGTCGAATAAATACTCTTACATACCTGAGAGGTAAATATCAAGCTGTTGTGAGTGGGGATGGATTTTGTTGAAGTTGAAGGTGAGTAGCTGTGCGCCAGACCGAACCCGAAAATCATTAGCGAGCGCGCCCACCCCCAGACTTACCCTGCACACATTGCCCTATATGGAACTACATCACCAATTCTGAACTAGATTGGCTAATTATCTTATAGATCTCATCTAGATCAAATTTAAATGTATATAAATTATACAGTTAATACAGTTTCCAGGTCATTATTTACGTATCTGCTCGTTCTATTCTTTTTGTAGAGCCAGATATGATTCAATATTCCCGTAAAATTCGGGGATATTAAAAAAAATTGAGTCCAGAGCCGGAGGAAAATCAAATGACAAAAGGCCCCTTTGTCGGGATATCAAGGATTTTGAATCATTTTTGCTGTTCATTGATATGCATACAGCGATTTTGCCAGAGTATTACCAGCAATGGAAACCCTTCCAGGACACCTCCTTCAAAACCCATGCACCGAAACCTCGTAATCATCTATGACTTGTTGGCAGCGCGAGCCTTGGCGTGGGACTTCTGGACCTCGTAGCGAGCCTGGAGTTATGTTGTTAGTTGAACTGTTATTAATTTCCCCACATCATTCGATCGGGTTTGGGCCCAGGCGCATTGTGCCTGACCGAATCCCATTCTCGATATTTCCACGTACCTGCTTGCGGAGGCGCAGAACCTTGAAGCGCTCGAAGTCGGACAGGTTCTTGCGGCGCTCCGAGCGGTCGGTCCGCTGGGAGAAGGAGCTCTTGGCCCACTTTCCATCAATTTCGTTCTTCGCCCAAAGCTTCTTGACGGGACCGGTACCGGCAGCACGGGGAAGCTGGGGGATGGTGAAGTGAGTGAGGGTTGCGTGGGCGAGAGGGAGAACGTGACGGGGCACGATCTTCTGCTCCTCGGTGGAGGGACCGTCGACCAGGACCTGTAAAAAGAAAAATCGCAAGTCAATACAAATTCCGACTCAAAGATCTCCAAAAATCCGATTCTCCAGTTTTTTTTTTTGTCTCGATTTCCGGATTCATAGGGCGATTCCACATACACGGCGGTGGTCCACGATCTCAACGATGGCAGCAAGCTTTCCCTCGAAGGGTCCGCTGCGGATCAGCACTAGGCGGCCAACCTCAACCAGCTTCCACGAAGCGACCTTGACATCGATATCGGCCATGGCGAAATTCTGCGAGACGAAAAATTCAGCGTCGCGGTTCTGTAATATTTGGATATTGTACACTCACGGTCGACAGGGGGTATGAGTCGAGAAGGGGTTGTCGAAAGAGTTCAATTGTCCAAGAGTTGTCTCGAAATTCGGATGTGCCCACACTCGCAACATTCTCGCTTAACCGGCCACTTGCAGGTCTAGGGCTCTGATTATCTCAGCATCCGTATTAACCTTTATCCGAAGCCGTGCATTTATCTCGTTTTTTTTGGCGTCGAACTATTGTTGATCTCTTCAAGCTACTCAGCTTTACAAGCTTAAGACTTTAATGATGAGTTTGCATTTGCTTGAATTACGACAATTGCTCACAGATAGCATTTACTAAGGTATGCTATTATTCTCCCCTTTTTCCCCCAGTCTTCTGGTCTTCTTGCCCTCATTCCTCATATGATGCCGTAATTTGCGATTGACCCAGCGTCTGTGAGGCCCTCGCCGGGGCTCTCTATACAGCGCTGTCGGATGATATTCAATTTTCTTACATATTCTGATATGGATTATAACCTTCATGTTATACTCAATGTTTTTTCAGAGCCATCGTGCTGACTGTTTGAAGATTTTTAGGATATTGGACTTGGAAAAACTTAAACGACTGTCAACCACATTGCAACTCTCCGTCTTTCCATAAGGTACGTTCACACACTATCCTCCATCCTCCACCATACCCCAAGGTCCGATGATTAGAAAATTTTATCACGCCTAGATAGTAATTGAGCTTCTCGCTATGAAATTACCTAACTACCAAGATCTCTGAGA